CCAAAAGAGTTCAAAGATTCTCACTTTAATTTACCTTTTTCGTTTAATTATATCTCTCCACTTTTCTTTATGGTTTTCTTTTTTATGGGATAGCCTTCATTTCATGTTTATTGTACGTATATATATACATACATAAATATTTTTTTAATATACACTCATATATGTATATATGTAGTTATTTATAAATTTTTGGGTTTTTCTTGGCATAAAAGTTTTAATCAAATGCGGTAATATGCTTGGTTTTTAAGCCACCATCTATTGCTTAAGCGAGAAGGTATATCTAACGGGCTTAAGCGGGACGGCTGAGCTAACAGTGAGAAGTGTAAGTCCGTCAACACGATAGCGGCTAGAGAAAGTTTAAAAGAAATAAAAATATGTAAATTTTTTAATTAATTAAAAATAATTTTGAATAAAAAATAATGACACTTAAATTTATTTTTTTAAAATTTAATATTTTTATATTTATGAAAAGTATATTTTGGTATTAACTTTAACTAAAATTATTTTTTATTTCTATACGTTTATTAAAAATATTTTTTAAATACACAACCTATAATTATAAGTTAGTAACTAAACTGACACTTGTTGTTTAAGAGCGAATATAATTTTTTTTAATATGATTAGATTCGATCATAAATATTGTAGTTTACTGATAATAATATATTATTTTTATTTTTTAAATAATATAAAAAATTTATATAAGGTAATAATTTTATTATATTTAACAATATATTAAAAAATAGATGGATTATGAGTTTAAATTTTTTATAAAAAGTTATTTGGAGTTATCTTTGGCCTTAACTAATCAATGTTATGGTAAATTATAATAAGATTTTCACCAAGGTTTGAGTATAATTACATATGTAATAAATTATTTATTAATGTCGGTCTAATTCTTACCAAAATATATGTTACATTCCAATAAATTATTACTTAATTCAATATAATAGGTGATTATATATATATATATTTTAAAATCAACAAAAATTTTATATTATATTTAAAGTAAATAAAAACTATGATATAAAAGTACGTATGTAACATGTGTAACAGCCCCGGAAAATATTAAAAAAAGAAATGAGTATTTAAATATATCGAATGCGGAAGCGAGATCAAAATTTCAGTTAACATCCCTTACACGAAAAACCAAAAAAACGTACTTAAAATATAAAAGGTTAAACTAACTAAGAAAGAAAACTCGAAAATAAACTATGCATATGACTACAGAGTCTCTAGGCATCCCCTTCGTCGTCCTCCTGCGGAACGGGCTCGGGAACCATGTGTTCCTGATCTGAAATGGTTAATTAAGGAGTGAGCTACACTAGCCCAGTAAGAACATCACGATATCTCACCGTCACGGAGATAAAGGTGGGTAGAAAACCACAAAAAGACCAATGGAGCATAATTTACAACAAACTCGTTTATTAACATGAAAACCTTTACCATCCACTTACCTTGGTGGAATTTATGAAAACAATATGAGAAAAACAGTAACATCATCATAATCATTGAATAATCTAAGCTGTAAAACATAACACTTATCACGCCTCTTGTAATTCAATCATTGTACAACATATCTCTTTTCTCATTTACCAGCCTACTAGTATCCGTGGGGGTCCATAGGGGTTCCGCTACCCGTTAATCTTTAACATTCATAATCAGTTTCCAGGGCCGTCCCCATACCCCGTTCGGTATGGGCGCCAAAACCATAAACCTCAATACCCCGTCCGGTATGAGGGTGAAACGGGCCGTCCCCATACCCCGTCCGGTATGGGCGCCAAAACATTAAGATCTCCATACCCCGTCCGACATGTGAGACCACAATCCCGGTAGGGTTCCCTACGGACCCGGTCCGTCCACCATCTCCCAGGATATCTAGTCAGGCTGACCCCATCATACAATTATCAGTCTACACAATGTTTCATTTCCCTTTTCCTCAATAAGCATCATCAATTCACATTTAAACAAGCAAATCGTAATTCATGCCGAACAGACAATATATAGCATCAATATCCCAGTCATTCAACCCATAATTAATAAAACAGTAATATATGCATTCGAAACTATAAAATGAACACATCAAACCCCATAATGCATTTAAAGCTGTAAAACAGTGTAAAACATGCCAAATAACAGTAAATCATCAATCACACTAGACTCGGGCTCCATTAGCAACCTTAAGCAATTTCACACATGCGTTAATTCAAGAAATGCCGTTTTATCATTTTGAACTTTAATACCGTGATAGGAAATAAGGGTGAGGGGTCCTTACTTGTTTTCGGGATCCG